TTTAATACATGCTACTTATTTAATCAAAGTCCCAAAGCGAATGTTCGGCTTAACTATGCTAATGTTAGTAAAGAGTATAACAAACGAGTATACTGGCAATTCTATCTGCTAGTTATCTCCAAATTTCTGAGCCATTTAACAGCCCCACGACACGAGACCTTTAAAGATAACTTTTTTCTGTGACTTTCCTGCCTGTAATAGCAAACAACTTTATGTTAATCGTGGTCAAGTGCTTCTTGAGTAGTGCACGGGCAAACGGTTCATCCAACTTCCTGTAAAACATCTTAACAATCCTTGACAATCAAGCAATTAACTAGCAGTCACATCAGGAATCGCACAAGTCCCTGGAGGATTTTTACCCTGATGATTATGAAAAAGTGAGTTTCGTTGTTCTGCATACACTATTTTATATGCTCAATCGCCGTGTATGGACAAGGGCTTTGCGTTTCTACAAATTAAATTTGCTCACTTGACACGAATGTTTGCGTTCCCGTCATTTCCCACATCTTTATTAAAATTGTCATCCCTTGCCTGTAAAATTTTACTTTCGATCCCTCTTTCGGTCTTACCTGATAGTGAAGCGTTTATTTTGGACGGGGTATCCTGTTTGAGGCATTTCAGCCGGCGTCAGCGTAGTTAGAGATTTTTCCCGAATTTGCGACTACCTAACGAGTTCGGCAACTGACCGTGGATTATAATAATAAACCACCACTACTTAACTAAGTAAAGTAGCCATGCGTCGACAGTCAAACTCGAAGTGCAAACCTGGCAAACCTGATTAGGCGAACAGCGAATAGTTCTCGCAAGACCAAAATGCATTGTACCTAAAAATGTGCTCTAATGAAGGAAGTAAAAAATCCATTTAAGTTGGGAAGGCTATTAGGGAGTTTTTACTGATGTGTCTAACTTCATTTTGGATCATAGGCATTTTAGGTCTAAGAAAAGTTATTTTTAATCACAAAATCAACTTACGCAACTCGGCAACGTAACTTCTAACGTTACGAGTAGAAGGTAATACGCCAAAGTTTCTTAGCGTGATATTTTCCTCTAGTATGCATCTCGTCTGTCACTTGCCTTCATTTTTGCGCGAAATTTGCCAGGAGCATACAACCAAGCCGGTAATGGTGGTTCTGTCTTCATTCTCAATTCGCTTCTACAGAACCGCCCCTGACTCCAGTAAACATTCGCCTATAAACTTGAATTACACAACAAGCTCTGAGGAAGAAAGGACGATTGGAAAGGAGAAAATATATTTGTTGTGAGGCCGTTCGATTTTAGAAGTATGTAAATAAATCCATGATGGATGAATATGCAAGAAATATTCCCTCGCCGAGCGTGGCTCAATAGCTCGAAGAAACTGTAGTAATCGTTATCTTTTGTGAGGCCAATTAGAGATATATTTCACCATAAATTAATGCATCCATCAGAATATTTTTCATCTCTGCGAAAAATATGTAATGGATAAATTTTTCCCAGTATTTTAGTAAGGAAGTATGCTATATAAGCATTGGGCTGTGAGCTCCATAACTAGAAAAATATCCGCACTGACCAACTAGCCCGTAGTTAGACGGATACTTCTTTAGATTGCAACGACAGGCATTCGTTTAGTAGAGCAGTATGTAGTAGAATTTATCCTCTAATGCCACTCCAGTCAGCAGTTGGTCGCTGAATGAGCTTGATTTATTGATTTTACTAACGTCTAAATAGANCCATGCTTGAAACTGAATTTCGTACGATGGATTCCACATTTTCACCCAATTTGGTAAGAATTTATCCTGTTCAACGATAAGAGCTTATCAAATACCGTGAATAACATTAGCGTGTTTTTTTACTGACTTTTGAATTGTGCATTTTGCGCCTGTGACTATTACACGCCAAAAATTAGAAACCGTTTGTAGATAGGACAGACACGGCCTGACTACATATGTGAGCAACGTGCTAGCTAAGGTTATGGATCTCATGACTAAATATGGCAAACTTCCAATCTCCTGATTCCGGTTTGCCTTTGCAGCCATTCATTTTTTGACATGCTAGGAATGCCAGTATTTCTAAATTGGAAACAATGGTCTCTAGCATACTGACCTGGGACTTGATTTAAGCCGTGGTGTTGACTAGAGTGGGTTGACCTCAGACAGAAAACGGCTTTCTGCTATCTGGCCTTGTTCTATTTATGACAGTAACAAAACCTTCAGGAAAGGAAGTGGCTGATATGATTGTAATTTACTGAATATTTGAGATTTATGCAGGGTCGGAAACTGAACTTATAATCAATGACTGTACATAAAATAGTTTTATTTTGACGCTTGTCAGGTTTCAAAAGCCATTATTTGCAACTGCCAGACATTCGCTTTACAATCGGACATAGGATATGGGTTCCAAGAAAGTAGTTAAGTCCTCCCATGGTATTAATAGAAATTACCATTACTGACTATCTATCATCAAATTTCCTAGTTTCGCGCCGCAATGGAAAATAAAAAACTTTAATACTTTAATATCAGTATAACCTAGATAGTACCTTCACTTTTACGCAACCTGGTTTCACGAAAAATGAAGAGGATTTTAAATATCGGGATCGTTAAGATGGCTGGTCCTTGTTCTGAGACCTATCACCTTTACCGCAGGAAGAAGTCCCAAAATTTAAGTTGCCCGAGCACCAGCAATGGGGGGAAAATCCGTTTGCAGTATATATATAAGGGCGTGGATTGGGTCTACTGTGAAACGACTATAAGCTTCAGAGTTATGATTTTTGGCTGCATCAGCAGTATTTATTTTTGTCCACTTACATTGCTGAGATAATGTAAGTTGTTCCCCAAATTTCCCACCAGGTTATGTTTCTCATGCATCACGCAACTAACAGCCTTTTCGCCGACGGATTTTTGGGTAGGTATAGACAGTTTAGCCTAGTCATGCTCCAATTTGCTTTGTTTTTTTAAAAGACCATCCTGTGGATGGCATGACCGGTAGCTCTCAGGTAGAGTCCCAGACATTTAACGTTCAGCAGTTCTCATGTCCGGATGTTCTTCAAAATCCATGCAGCCCTCCAGCCCTCGCATCAACTGTAAAACTCTAACTGCTTATTCTAGTTAACCGTCGTCCGAACATCCGAAATCTGAAGAAGGACATGCGAACTAGAAGGAACTTGCGCGTAAGTAATTGTTTCGTTTGAAGTTAACACGTTTGATCTGTCTTCCATGGGGAACTGCTTCAAGAGTAACTTTTATACACATGGGTAGACGACTCATGGGGATGTTTATCCATTATCATACAAAAATCGTTGCTTATAGAAAATCCTCCGCTTTATTTTCGCAACTCCTTTGGTCTCAAACCTCAGTCTGGGATTTATAAAATTTCAGTGCTCTTGTCTATTATGTTATTAAGACACGTTTTTAAAACACGCCTATAGTCACTGAAGGCGGTTTATTTTACCGATTTAGACTACTACAATGCCACAGAGTCTCAGTGAGACCTCCGCCCAAAAAGACACTTATTTAAGCAATTCGAGAATGGAATCAATTGCTGACCCAGGTGAGTTGGTTTTTCTGACTAGTCTTTCACATTTATCCTATTCTTTTTTTAGAACAAACATTTACGGGAGACGTTGATAACGCCGAAGTCAGGTGTTGCGCTGAAGACGCAGTCGTGGAAGCACTGGCAAATGTTTTATCCGAACTGCCCTCCCACGTGTTTGAGTCCATTGTTAAATCCAGCTCCATAACATTTTTGCCATTTGGGTAGAATACGAAAACTCTTTTTTAAACTCCTCCTCCGAACTGGGACAGCATTTCTGTTATGCCATATGACTCATTTTGTTCATTTTGCTAAATTCAAAATTCCCGTCGGCCATCTGACAGACATATATAATAATCTGAATGAGAAGCGTGAAAAACCAAGTTGCCCAACTGGATCAAGTAATTTGCGGGACCTGAATCCACCTTATTGCTTATTGAGTAATGCCTGATACATCCTGAGGCGAGGTAGACAGTGCTTCTCCATGATACTCATTTCTGGCAATTACAGCAGATGAGACAGCCAAACTCTCCATTTCACTAATGAAGCCTCGCCATCTTGCACAGCATCGTCGCTGAGTCACTGTGTGGAAGGTTCCTGACTGTCAAGCCGTCGCAAACTTTACTGGTTCCAATAAATTCTGCTGTCCATACCTGCTTTAAATTCACTGCGGGGGGAATATTGCTTCAAATCTCAATTAGTTTCCTTCCATCAGTGCTTTAAACCTTTCTGTTTCCGTTATCTTTCACCTGATAACATCACCATCTATCGTTTGCCTGCGCCAGATCGCATAAAAGTTAGGTTCATTTGCTGGTGTGACGTTAATTTTTGACTGCGATTCGAGCAGTGGGCCATTAGCTGGTGAATTGCCTGAGTGGATACGCTGGCATGAACCGCCACTGCGTGCTTCTTTCCATATTAATTTCATGTCAGACGCACACCCCATCTCAAGTTTAGGTCAGTACAACTGTTAACTCATGTGTAAAACACTTGGATAGTACGTGTATCGGTATAGCTTGGCAGGCTTTTACAGGGTGGCCCAGATGTAACCGAATCCTAAGTATTGTTAAAAGTTACAAATAAATGGAACAAAGTGTTAGTACACAAAGCTATAACAGATGTTCAAAATGTAAACCATTATTTGCAATACAGCTGCGGCATCGTCGGATGAGTAAATTAGTCACTTTTTGCATCTCTCCGGCTTATTATCTTCTCTGGGCGCACCAGGTTTATCTGCGAGGGCAGTGTTGCTATTTCGATCGAATTTTTATACCTCTTCGTTGACCGTCGATTTTGATGGAAGTGACGCGTCAGATGATTCACTCCAATGCTCTCTAACCTCTTTATAACTCTGGCCCAGTTAATAATGATCCCTAGCAGTGTGAACATGTTCTTCGACTTTTAAAGGGTGTCATGTGCAGGCTGTATCACACGGAGGGTGAGACTAAATTCGAAATTGGCTAAAACGAGGACAAAATCACGCACCTTGAAAGTGACGTAAACAAGGTCTAATGAAGGTTCATGCAGAAGGTTTGTATTTCGAACATTTGCTGTAACTTTGTGAAACAAAATTCCGTTCCGTTTATTCGTTGCCTTTAATAATAGTTAATGTTGGATTACATTTGAGCTCCCCTGTATTTTGTGGGAGATGTTGGGGCCCATCAGTAACGTGAGGATGACCGCACGATCGACCTTGTTACCTGTAGGAAGATCAATTGCGCTAGCATTCACTTCCAACAAAAAGATAGATCCAATTTGGCCTGACCGAATTTCGCATGACGAAGCAGAAGTCTTATCGTTGAAGGATGTCTTATTGCCATCTGCAGAGGTTCCTAGCTAACCACCCGACTTCGCAGCATAAAGTTCATGGATTCGAGTTTCACAGTAACGGGCACAAGTAAGTCTAATTATTATTTGTTTTTAGCCTTGTTACTGTTGGTTGGCATTGCGTTGTATCAGTTCAGCCCAAATATGGGATATCACCATCGTCAGAAAGAAAGGTGGAGTTGGGCAGCAGACCTGCGCAAATAATACAACTGCCCCTGAAGAGAATAAGACCGACCACTAACACCTCTATAATTTCTGCAGCTCACGAGGTTCCGCGTAACACGATTCATGCGGGCAAATACCAGTTGAACCCTTCCTAGGACCCGAGACCTGAACTGGTTATATAGTGCCAGTTTAACGGGAAAGTCCTCGTTCAGTCACTTTATGGGAAGTCAGCGGGAGATGACAGCATTGTTGCAAATAACTCTGGACAACCCTAGTAGTTGATTGCAGTTCCTCGCCTACTCTTTCAGACAAGCATCAGAAAACCATCTCCTTGAGTTAGTCTTTTCACATCGGGACGACAGCTGCAGAGATACTAACTCTGACGTAAGTGTCTGTTTAACAGCTGCTGTAACTGGGAACTATCTTTGGAATCGGTTCATAATCCTTCTGGATGACACCATCCTCTTAGCCTCAGAAGTACATTATCAGGAAGATTCATTTGTTTGTTAGCTGAATATGGTTTCGACGAATTCAAACCACCCACACAGCCGATATGTTATCAAGATCGAGTCAAGCGGACTGAAGGTCAGTTTTAACAACTGTTAATCTAACAGCTACCACCGCTTCTCGTTTACTGCACATGTAGGTTACTTAACCGATAGAGTTGTGAAAATCCCCATAGCTATATTCGAAAGAAAAGGTGGCGAGCGAACGTTGCTTTCGATAATTTCTCGTCAGGTCTGTACAGTTATATGGAACGGGGCACAGTGAGTGAAAAAATCGATAAAAGTTAGTTGTTAAAATACAGGCTATGGAAGAGCTCAAGGGCGCAGAAAGTTGTATGTGGTTAGTCAACCTGTGACTACGGTAAGCGCGGAGCCTAAACGAGGTTCTTCTGGGGGCATAGGGTCGGTTTTCGTAACCTGATGGCGGCTGTTTCTGCTGTTGCTAACAGGCGCCGGCCCAGTAGATTAGGGTAGCTCGAGGGGACCTTATAAATCATACGAAATGCTTCAGCGGGATCCACCCGATGTCCTTGATCAACTGCATGCGCAAGGATGGCGCTGTCTATTCTCCTAGTTTCACCTTTTGCCAGTCATGCGGGAAAGTTCTCTCGTATTCTTTTGGAAAGGCGCCGACTGGTGTGGCCAATATAACCTGCTCCACAGGAGCAAGTGAATGAGTAGATGCACATTGAGGCGGTCTGAGTTGGCAGCCTATCCTGGCCTTCTCCGCGTAGAATAGGGTTAGTAGAGAATGGTATGCGAACCCTTGCTGCTGGTAAAGTTCTCGAGACAGCTTGATCAAGACGTCTTCTTAAGAGTTCACTCTCAGGGTCTCCTTGGAAAGGGACTTTGAGGAACAACGGTTGCTTTTCGGCGGTTAGTGTGGTGGGTTATGCGTGTCGTTCGTCAATGTTCTTTGCAATGAACCTATCAGGATACCAGTTTTTGCGAGGTAAGTCCTGGATTTTTCTAAGTGCCTCGTAGATACTATCTGTTGAACAGATTATTCTACCCCTCTGTGCCAAACACCTGACTGGATTTCGTTTTTGTTGGAGATGTACGAAACTAGCGAAGTTCGTGTATTGTCCAGACCAGGTTTTCTTCCGATAGACGCTCCTTCGGATGCTACCATCAGATCTCCTGTTTAGAAGGACGTCTAAGAAAGGGAGCGAATCGGCCTATTCCATCTCCAACGTGAATTTGATCGACGGATGTGCCCGGTTTACAGCATTTAGGAGGGCAGCAACGTCGGTTTCTGTGGTTGCAATCGCAAAGATATCATCAACGTACCGACCGTAGTGTTTAAGCTTTTTGATCTGATCGCTTAGTTGAAATCTCTCCAGTTTGCCCATGAAGACGTCGGCTAAGAGAGGTCCAAGAGGCGATCCCATAAAAATGCCGTCCATTTGTCTATAGAGTTGGTTGTCAAAATGGAACTGCACACTTAATGTGCACCTTAGTACTATTTCCTTGAGTGTGTTCCTCGGAATTCCTATTTCTTTATGACTGGCAGGTAGAAAATCACAGATGTAATCAACTATCTCGGTGACTGGGACGCTTGTAAAAAGTGATGCAGCGTATAGTGAGAACATTATCATGCCGTTAAGGTTGAGCTCTTTAATGTCGTCAATGAAGTGAAACGTATCTCGATAGCTGCGTGGTGTCAGCTGATGTTGTATGGTCTTGAGTTTCTCTGCTAACCACTAAGCTATCGCATGATACGTAGAGTTCCATTTAAACTGGTAGGGGGCGCTCACTGATCGTTCTTGCGGAATTCGCTCGTTCCGTTGTGTCTTTCAGGCTCTCTCTCTCTCTCGAGCCCAACCAGCAGCCGCACAGCGGCGCATGATATAGGCAGTCCCGTATACCTAAAATCGGACGAACCGGGAGGCCTTCCTTATGGATTTTAGGCAAACCGTATAATCGAGGGATATGTGGGCCGACTGGCCGGAGGTGTTAGAAGTCATGGTCACTTATGTGGCCTCCTGTGATAGAGCTGGACTCCGCCGACTCCATATCACCTCGGTCATTACTGTCCACTTCTGCAAATCTCACGCAAAAGAAGGAAGGTTAAGTGGCTAAAAAACGAATCCTTGAAAATTGGCCAGCCCAAAATGTCAAACCCTATACCAAAACTTTCCATGCCAAAAGTTCCGTTCGCTTAGGACTTCATGCAATTAATTTTGACGTTTCTGCATAGTTGACATCCAATGGCCTTTTTCCAGTAGCTGGTATTGGCTTGCTCAGCCCCGCGTATTTGCCACAGACTTATGGGACGCAACTTGAGATGCTTTTCGAGAGCTTGGTTTACTGTCGTCAAAACAGTACTTGCGTTGAAGACTAGTGAGGGCTGCCGAATACAGAAGTTCTCGACACCACTGCATCGCACCGCTGCTGTTGCAAAGTTTGTTTCTCTCATAGTGACAATGAATTTTTCTGA